ATATACAGCAGGCGTCAGGGTCGGGGTCGAACCCACGACCTCCTGTACATCAGGCGAGGTTGTTAATATCTCATAGCCACCGTGATGATGATGCTGATGAGAGAGAGAGAGACACGCAAACTCAAAATATACAGCAGGCGTCAGGGTCGGGGTCGAACCCACGACCTCCTGTACATCAGGCGAGGTCGTTAACATCTCATAGCCACCGTGATGATGATGAGAGAAAGAGAGACGCGCAAACTCCAAATATACAGCAGGCGTCAGGGTCGGGGTCGAACCCACGACCTCCTGTACATCAGGCGAGGTCGTTAACATCTCATAGCCACCGTGATGATGATGATGAGAGAGAGACGCGCAAACTCCAAATATACAGCAGGCGTCAGGGTCGGGATCAAACCCACGACCTCCTGTACACCAGGCGAGGTAGTTAACATCTCATAGCGCACCGTGATGATGATGCGAGAGAGAGAGAGACACGCAAACTCCAAATGTACAGCAGGATTCGTCAGGGTCAGGATCGAACCCACGACCTCCTGTACACCAGGCGAGGTCCTTAACATCTCATAGCCATCGCGTCATATCATGTCGATGATGCCCTTCCCCACCCCTCCGGCTCTGTAACGCGTTATAAACCATGAACGTGGCAACGTTGCGGACGTGATAATTTATTTAAAGATATATGATCTCTTATATAAATAAAGACCTTGATCCGTATGTCTAAAAAAATTAAAACCCCTTGTGCTTCCCGACAAAGTAGAAAGCTGAAAAATTTGGTGTCTAGGTGGCTTTGGGGACCCCCAAATCTCGATTGTAAGTGCCCCATAAAACACGTTTTGTGCGTGGTGTCCATTCAGAAACTGTTCAAAATATAAGATTGCGTTTCTGTTTGTTTGATAAGAGCCTTAGACGGCAAAAAAAATTAAAGCGAGAACCACTCCTCAATGTTTTATTGTTTTTGTGAGATATTTCGGATTCAAGCTGGTTTTGAACGAAAACAAAATCCGCATTGTATGACGTTCACACCTGAACAATTCGAAAACGAGAGCTACCCCTCATCCACTAAGTTCCAACGTTTTTTTTTAAATTGAGCAGTTTATGTTGTGTACGCCTTTTAAATGTAAGAAGTTGAATAGAATCGTCAACGATTTGTGTTTTGCTGTTGCACAAAAATTCAAATGTTTGGAGCAGCTGTTAGTGGTCTGATCGTAGGTTTAAAAAAAAGAAAATTCACGTAAAATTTATAACAGTTTAATCGTTATATTTATTGGAAACTTTTGCCTGGCGAAGACGGGCTTCATGAACTCGTCAATTAAAATAATAATCTAATACTAGTAGTAGTAGCAATAAAAACGCCCTTCTAACAATGAAGAGCAAAGGATAGGGGGCTAGGGGGGGAGTGGGGGGGATGGGGTGGGCCCCGGCGTTTTGGATGTCCGCTGGAAATAGAAGGCAACGCGAAATAAATTTACCCGGACGCGCGACGATGGCCGAGAAGGGCTTCAAAAATAAAACTAACCGGGCAACCGGGGTGGTGGTGGTGGCGGCGGTGGTGGCGGTGGCGGTCAGTGGAAAAATAGCTGGGACGAGTGGCGGTGGCGTGCGTGTGGCACTGCACATGGCATTGCGTGTGGCACTGCACATGGCATTGCTTGTGGCAACGCGCCCGCAACCGCACCTACCGCGGTTGCCAAGGAGCAGAAAACTCAACTGCATCTAAACAACTATACACAAAAACGTCGTTTACTTTACCAGGTGTAAGGCCCTCCCCTCCACCCCCCAAAAAGAAAACTAAGCGACCCCGGCCATCGCAAACGACAGCTGGACGAAGCGGCGGCCTTATCGTCGTCATCGTCGTGCGGAAATGTGTAGCAGTCGAGAACTCTCAACGCACGTTGATTGTCGAAGCTATATATATATTTTTTATTGTTACCAGGTGCAAGGCCCCCACTGAGCTGCTACGTGGCTAATTTTTCAGAAGCGACCGCCCCCGACCATCGCAAACGAACAGCTCGCCCAAGCGGCTCCTCCTCCTCATCGTCGTCGCCGCGTGGGAATTTCTAGTCGCCTAAAACTCCCAACGCGTGGTGTCGATTCTTAACGTGGAGGAGGGGGGGGGGGAAACGGAAGGCCCCGTAGGAAAAAATTCCACGCGACCGCTGGCAGGGAGGGAGAGAGACGCGCGCAAACTCCAAATATTTCAGCAGCAGCAGCAGGCGTCGTCAGGGTACAAGATCAAACCCACGACCTCCCTGTATACCAGGCGAGGTAGTTAACATCTCCTGCGTGCCCGCTGCTACCGCCGCGGCTCTCCAAATAAAACGAAACGCCGATAGCCGCTCCGAGATTCCGCGGGGGCGAACGGGACAAAGATCCCCCCGTGTAGCCCGTAACAGACTGTAGGGGCAAGTGCTGTTAGCGAGCAGCACCTGTGAAGGGCGGAAGGGCACACGAGGGGTTGGGGGTGGCCAGCACCACGCCCGACCGCCTTTGTCTCACCGGTGGCGATGTTTACTACACACACAGCACTGGGTACTCATTTAATGGGCTGAGTCGACCTAGGGGAGGCCCGGAACCGGTTCAGATCATCGTCACCGGTGTTGGCCGCGAGCTGGAATCGAACCCGTGTCGCCGGGTTCATAGCGCGGCGTAGCGCTAACCGCTACGCTATCGCTCCCCACACACACACACATACACGCACGTACACCCAACCACCCACATAGCCACGCGACTTGCAAGACGTCTCGGAAGCGGGAACGGGGATTGTTTAGCCACCATGCGGTTACCAGTAAACACAGCACATCGAATGTAACTTCCTTTGCCAGTAGCAAACTATAATAATTGGGTTTTTACCCCGTTTACCTCGCAAAACAAATCTGACACCTTTTGGCGTCATCTGGTCCAACACCAACGTGAGACGAGGCTCTAAGGGAAAGCTGTCTCGGGTGTGGATCAATTAATTTAAAGGACGGTGCATAATACATTATCAGAGTTATGTTTTTTGTTTGCATTCCGACCGCAGGTATTGTGGTCAATGCAAACACTCCTCCTTGTAAAAAAAAAAGGTGTCAGTTTTGTTACCAGATAAAAGGGGTAAAAAAACAATTATTATAAAACACATCGAGTTTATCCATAATAGAGGTTTGTTTATATTCTTGGTTCTTTCGGTAAAGTCACGTTGAAGGGAAGCAATGAAATAATAAAATATATATAAAACAATACAATTCTCACGACGTTTCGACTGCAACACAAGCAGTAATCATCAGGTGTGAAAACCAACGGCAAGAACAAACAGCCACTTCTTTCAAATGTTCTTGCCGTTGGTTTTCACACCTGATGATGACTGCTTGTGTTGCAGTCGAAACGTCGTGAGAATTTTATTGTTTCGTATATATATTTTATTGTTTCCCTTCAACGTGACTTTACCGAAAGAACCAAGAATATGAATCACTGCAGTCACGAAAGCTTTAATCGGAGGCTTGTTTGGTTTGTTTTTTTGGTTGGCCGGGGTGAGATCGCGTGGACACAAACGTGTCATTAAACCCGCCGCCAACACCACCGCCCGCCACATCCGATTGAGTCGAGGGGTTTGTGTCACCAAAACCGTTGTTGTTGTTGTGTTGAAGAGTTAAACCCACAACGACGTTTACAATTCGAGTTGCCGTGACGTTTTTCGCCGGTAATTACAACAACAACAACGACGAGAAGAAGAACCACAACCACCAGCAGCACCGTCAGGCTACAGGCAGGATTTTTACACCTCTTTGAACCGCCCGCTCCGAAGCTAAGACAGGAAAGGAGATGGGGGGGCATCCGACACGGCCCGCGGACTTCAAAATCTCACGACCCACGACCCACGCAGTGGGGCCTGCACGCTTTGCTCTAACGTTCCAATCCCCGTCTGACCCTACTGGACATCTGTGCGGGGGGGGGGGGGAAAGAGCTTTGTAGCTCATCAGATTCCTCCTGCTGCAGTACAAATACAGATTCCGATTCTCTTCCGCGAAAGCCTTCGCCTGCCACCCCCCCCACGCCACGCCTCACAAGTTACAAAAACATAAATATACATTCTGCAACGCCAGGATATTTCAACACGATTGATAACGACGTGGACGGTGGTGGACGGTGCCGGACACCTTTGGGCGTCGCGAGTTCTAATCCCGGTGGGAGTGTCGGGTGACGCTACAGTAGAACGCTGCGATGCTGTTGGTCATCATGCGTGGACCGCTAGCACTAATCGCTGCTGTCTCTCTCTCTCTTTTCCCCCCACCCACACAGGACGCCACCACCCCTGCCGAAGCTTAGGACTCTGACAAAACCAAAACCCAACGCGGCGGGAGTCCGCCCGAACCCCAAAGATTCCACGCGGGAACGACAACCACGACGAGAACAACAACAACAGCAGCAACAACACGACTACACGGAGACCTAGACGCAAACACACAACGCTTATCGCACAAGGCTCAAATAATTGTGCACATACATACATACAACAACAAAAACGAGATTGACACGGACGCGCGTGCTCGCACGCGGAGGTGTGCCGTCTAATTCGCAGAGAGGCTCAGGGTTTACCGAGCCTTACCCCTGAGGGGTAAAGGCAGTGCCACCACCGCCGCCACCACCACCGCCACCGTCACCGCCTGCTGCTGCTATAATCGCTTAATTGGTTCGGGCTGAAAGAACGGCCTCGGTCGACTGGCAAGGCCAAGCCACAGCACCTGTGTGCCTCACTTCTCACTTCAACCGTCTGCCCGCCCACCCACCAAATCACCCACCCTCCCCACCCACCAAATCACCCACCCTCCCCACCCACCAATCCACCTACCCTCCACACCCACCAATCCACCCCCACCCTCCCCCGCTTGCCCGTCCACCCGCTTGCCCGTCCACCCGGCTATTTACCCACACTCCCACCCACCAATTCACCCACCTTTCCGCCCACAAATCCACCCACCCACCCTCCCGGCCCCGCTCACCCACCTTTTCCACCCGCCCTCCCACCCACCAATCCACCCACCAATTCACCCACCCTCCTGCCCGCCCGCCTGCCCGCCCCACCTCCGGCTCATCATGCCCGGCGGCCCCTCCGCGGCCGCAGAGTGAGAGCCAAAAAAACAAAACAACAAACGCCCCACACACACACCCCCCCCCCCCCCCCCGGCCAAACAAACCCCACCCCCAAACCACCGATGGAGAACGCGTCTCTGGCGTGGCTCGGCGCGGAGGCCCCGTCCTCGGCGGCCCCGTCCTCGGCGGCCCTGTCCGGCGCCGCCGAGGCGTTCGCCAACGGCAGCCTCGGCGCCATCTCCTCGGCGGCCGCCACGGCCGCGGCCGCGGCCGCCACCGCCCAGAGCTGCGAGATCGACGAGGGCTTCAAGCGCACCTTCTACGCGGCGTCGTACAGCCTCATCTTCGTCCTGGGCCTGCTCACCAACAGCGTCGCCCTCGGCGTGTTCTGCTGCTGCCTGGGCCACCGCACCGAGGCCACCACGTACATGTTCAACCTGGTGCTCTCCGACCTCTTCTTCATCGCGACGCTGCCCTTCCGCGCCGTCTACTACGTGCGCGGCGGGTGGCCCTTCGGCGACTGGCTCTGCAAGCTCAGCGGCGTCCTCTTCCTCACCAACATGTACGGCAGCGTCCTCTTCCTCACGTGCATCTGCGCCGACCGCTTCCTCGCCATCGTGCACCCGTTCCGCTCGCGGACGCTGCGCACGCCGCGCGCCGCCAGGGCCGCCTGCGTCGGCGTGTGGCTCATCGTCATCCTGGGCTCGAGCCCCTCGTTCCTGCTCAAGACGACCAACAACGCCGGCGGTGGCAACGCCGGTGGCAACGCGTCGTCGCCCGACGGGCCCCGGACGTGCTTCGAGAACTTCCCCACCAACACGTGGAAGAGCTTCCTCTCGTCCATCGTCATCTTCATGGAGGTGGTGGGCTTCCTCATCCCGCTCGTCGTCATGGTCTACTGCTCCTGCATGATCCTCAAGACCATCAACGGGTCGCGGGGCCTCCAGCGGAGCCCCTTCGACCGGCGCAAGATCCAGCGCATGATCACCGCGACCGTGGTCATCTTCGTCGCGTGCTTCCTGCCGCACCACGTGGTGCTCGTCTTCTACACGCTGGTGCGCCGCGACACCATCACGAGCTGCGCGGCGCTGCGCGCCGTCAAGGCGGCCTACCCCATCACGCTGTGCCTGGCAAGCGCCAACTGCTGCCTCGACCCCATCATCTACTACTTCACGACGGAGGCGTTCCGGCGGTCGCTGCGCCGCGGCGTCAACCGCGGCTCGTCGTTCCTCCTGTCCGAGACGCTGCGCGTCACCGAGAGCGTCATGGCGATGGCCGGGGAGCGCGCCGGAGGGGTCAACGGCAGGGCGAGCCTCACCAGGCAGCAGAGCCAGAGCCAGAGCCAGGTGTGACGGACGTGGGGGGGAGGGGGAGGTGGACGAGGAGGGAGGAGGGAGTTGACGCACCTCCGCTTAGCGCCGTTGGCTACGTACGGTGCCAAAGAGGTTCCTCCACGCATTCATTGAACGGTTGGCTACGTACGGTGCCAAAGATTAGATCCACGCATACATTGAACGGTTGGCTACGTACGGTGCGAAAGAAGTTCTGCATACGTACATACATTGAACGGTTGGCTACGTACGGTGCGAAAGAAGTTCTGCATACGTACATACATTGAACGGTTGGCTACGTACGGTGCGAAAGAAGTTCTGCATACGTACATACATTGAACGGTTGGCTACGTACGGTGCCAAAGAGGTTCCTCCACGCATACATTGAACGGTTGGCTACGTACGGTGCGAAAGAAGTTCTGCATACGTACATACATTGAACGGTTGGCTACGTACGGTGCCAAAGATGTTCCTCCACGCATACATTGAACGGTTGGCTACGTACGGTGCGAAAGAAGTTCTGCATACGTACATACATTGAACGGTTGGCTACGTACGGTGCGAAAGAAGTTCTGCATACGTACATACATTGAACGGTTGGCTACGTACGGTGCCAAAGAGGTTCCTCCACGCATTCATTGAACGGTTGGCTACGTACGGTGCCAAAGAAGTTCTGCATACGTACATACATTGAACGGTTGGCTAGGTAGGGTGCGAAAGAAGTTCTGCATACGTACATACATTGAACGGTTGGCTACGTACGGTGCCAAAGAGGTTCCTCCACGCATTCATTGAACGGTTGGCTACGTACGGTGCCAAAGATGTTCCTCCACGCATTCATTGAACGGTTGGCTACGTACGGTGCCAAAGATGTTCCTCCACGCATACATTGAACGGTTGGCTACGTACGGTGCCAAAGAGGTTCCTCCACGCATTCATTGAACGGTTGGCAACGTACGGTGCCAAAGAGGTTCCTCCACGCATTCATTGAACGGTTGGCTACGTACGGTGCCAAAGAGGTTCCTCCACGCATTCATTGAACGGTTGGCAACGTACGGTGCCAAAGAGGTTCCTCCACGCATTCATTGAACGGTTGGCTACGTACGGTGCCAAAGATGTTCCTCCACGCATACATTGAACGGTTGGCTACGTACGGTGCCAAAGAGGTTCCTCCACGCATTCATTGAACAGTTGGCTACGTACGGTGCCAAAGAGGTTCCTCCACGCATTCATTGAACAGTTGGCTACGTACGGTGCCAAAGATGTTCCTCCATGCATTCATTGAACGGTTGGCTACGTACGGTGCCAAAGAGGTTCCTCCACGCATTCATTGAACGGTTGGCTACGTACGGTGCCAAAGAAGTTCTGCATACGTACATACATTGAACGGTTGGCTAGGTAGGGTGCGAAAGAAGTTCTGCATACGTACATACATTGAACGGTTGGCTAGGTAGGGTGCAAAAGAAGTTCTGCATGCGTACATACATTGAACGGTTGGCTAGGTAGGGTGCGAAAGAAGTTCCGCGTACCAACATCGTTGTTACCGCTGTTGGCTGAACGTCGAACAAAGACGGCCAACGCATCGCACGGCGGCGCTTCCGCGGCCGTCTGGAACGCTCTTCCCTCCTCAATGTCAGGAAGCCACTGGGAGGAGGGGGGGGGGGCTACGCACGTTGACGTCGTCATCATCGACAAACTCGTTTCTTCGCACCTCCGACGAGCAAACGGTCGGCGACGTACGGTGCGCGAGAGACGGTCGACGTCCGTACATGTTGTTGTTGTTGTTGTGGCTAAACATCGAACAAAGACGGTCCACGTGCCACCCCCCCCCCCCCCCCCGTGACCCCCAGCGTGTCGCCCCCCCACCCCCCCGTGACCTTTGGACTTAATGTTCATTCATATTCTTGGTTCTTTCGGTAAAGTCACCACCACGTAGAAGGGAAACAATAAAATAATAAAAAATATATTATTTCATTGTTTCCCTTCTACGTGGTGGTGACTTTACCGAAACAACCACGAATACAAATCCCTGCAGTCACGAAAGCTTTAAATAAAAAACAAATTCTACGTTCATTTGTTAAATAAATGGAATCTCCCGCCGGAATCGCCCACTGCAAAGATTTCCTCGGTCAGCAGGACGACGATGAACGGGGGGGGGCGGCGTGGGGAAGACCGCGAGAATGAGAGACGGCCTCTTCTGCTGTGACAACCGCGGTCGTAGCGGCGGCTGCCTTCCTCACGAGGGCCGGCGTTGTGAAATCCATCGCGTTATGATAAATAATATATCTACTATGCGCGGGGGGGCGGGGTAAAGCACCAGTCCGCGATAACGCGTCCGCGAGATGCGTAACAGCAGGGCCGAACAACGAACTGAGGGCGCCCGCGTGGTGGGGGGTAGCCATCTACCGTAAGCATCCAGCAGCATCCCAACGCCTCGTGCGATGACGACGCTACCTCAAGGCAGGTGTCACGACCGCCGCTTACTCCAACTCGGGCTGCGACGTCGCTCCGTTCGCTCGATCGCGTTGTAGCAGAGTTCGCACCCGTGTTATATAAAACAAAAAAAACGCATTCCACCAATACACGTTCGTCATCGCGTTAGAGCGCTCCGATTCGCGTTGTGAAAACGACACGAGGCGTTGTAGGCGAACAGACTGGATTCTTTTTTGTTACCGGCTGTGAGGCCCACTGAGATACTATGTAAGCTCAGTTTCAGAAGCGACTCTGGCTATCGCAAATGATAGCTCGATGAATTGGCGGCTTCTCATCATCACTTGGAAATGTATAGCCTGTGGCCAAATATTGGAAACGGGCGACGCCGATTCCGAACGTGTTAGGGGAGAGACAGAGAGTGAGACACGCAAACTCTAAACATACAGCAGCAGGCATCGTCAGGGGTCAGGATCGAACCCACGACCTCCTGCATGCGAGGCGAGGTTGTCAACATCTCATAGCCACCGTGATGATGATGATAGAGAGACACGCAAACTCCAAACAAACAGCAGCAGGCATCGTCAGGGGTCAGGATCGAACCCTCGACCTCCTGCATGCGAGGCGAGGTTGTCAACATCTCATAGCCACCGTGATGATGATGATAGAGAGACATGCAAACTCCAAACATACAGCAGCAGGCGTCAGGGGTCAGGATCGAACCCACGACCTCCTGCATGCGAGGCGAGGTTGTCAACATCTCATAGCCACCGTGACGATGATGATAGAGAGAGAAAGAGACACGCAAACTCCAAACATACAGCAGCAGGCATCAGGGGTCGGGATCGAACCCACGACCTCCTGCATGCGAGGCGAGGTTGTCAACATCTCATAGCCACCGTGATAATGATGATAGAGAGACACGCAAACTCCAAACATACAGCAGCAGGCGTCAGGGGTCGGGATCGAACCCACGACCTCCTGCATGCGAGGCGAGGTTGTCAACATCTCATAGCCACCGTGATAATGATAGAGAGAGAGAGAGAGACACGCAAACTCCAAATATACAGCAGCAGCAGGCATCGTCAGGTTATCGGGATCGAACCCACGACCTCCTGCACACCAGGCGAGGTTATCAACATCTCACCGTGGCGGGGAAGGGGTCTGCGTGAAAGTGAAAGAGGGAGCGGCGGGGGTCCCCCTCCTCTGTAGGATTTCCAGCGTTTTTCAACCTCCAACACCGAACGGGGAGGGGAGGGCCGGGCCGGAGGAGGAGCCACCACTGTTGCAACTTTTCACACTCAACGGAGGAACGGACGACGCAGAAGCCAGCGTCTGTTCCACTCTCCAGGATCCCAGCACGTCCGAGGAGAATGTTGCGGAGGACTGCGGCGCGGGTGGAAGCCGGCACTGACACGAACTTTGAACTTTTGAGAAATTGTGAATTGTGTTGTTGTTGTTGTTGTTTATTTGTTATTTTGTCTTGCGCGCATTTTTGCGTCCCCTTTGTGTGCGACGGGAGTTTGCGAGGATGACGTTGGGGGGGGGGGGGGAAGAGTTTGCAAAAGAAATTGACGTTTTAAATGTTCCCGTTTGTGAATGGTTTTGTTTTAAGTGGCCCGAGAGTGAGCATGTGTGTGTGTGTCTGTGCGTGTGTGTGTCTGTGTGTCTGTGTGTGCGTCTGTGTGTGTGCGTCTGTGTGTGTGTCTGGCGGCTGTTGTTATATTGAGAGTGCCCATGTTTGAGTATGTGAGTATGTGATTGACCGCGCGTGTGTGGGGAGAGATGATGTAGCGGTCAGCGCGCTGCGCTATGAACCCGGCGACCCGGGTTCGATTCCCGCTCACGGCCAACACCAGTGACGATTATCTGAACCGGTCCCGGGCCTCCCCTAGGTCGACGCAGCCTCAAATAAGTACCTGGTGCGGTGTGTAAACATTGCCACTAGGGAGACAAAGGCGGTCGGGCGTGGTGCTGGCCACCCACCCCCGTGTACCGTTCCGGCCTTCATAGGTGCTTGCTAACAACACTTGCCCCTACAGTCTGTTAAGGCTATATGGGGGATCTTTGTCTTTTTGTCTGTGTGTGTGTCTGTGTCCGTGTGTGTCTGTTTGTGTGTCTGTGTCCGTGTGTGTCTGTGTGTGTGTCTGTGTCCGTGTGGGTTTATGTGTGTCTGTCTGTGTGTGTGTCTGTGTGTGTCTGTGTATGTATGGGGAGCGGTGGTGTAGCAGTTGGCGCTACGCTGCAAACCTGGCGATCCAAGTTCGATTCCCGCTCACGGCCAACATCGGTGACGATTATCTAAAGTGGTCCTGGGCCTCACCTAGGTTGACTCAGCCTCAAATGAGTACCTGCTACGGCGTGTAGTAAACAATCACCACAAGGGAGACAAAGGCGGCCGGCGTGGTGCTGGCCACCCACCCCCCCTCGTGAGCCGTTCCGGCCATCAAAGGTTCTCGCTAACAGCACTTGCCCCAACAGCCTGTTACAGACTAATACGGGGGATCTTTGTCTTTTTCTTTTGCGTTGAGAGAGGCAGTCGCCCTCCAGCAACAACGGAGGGGGCCGAGGAGCGACGCTCGCAACGACGAGCAGAGCGTCGGGCGGCTAAGACACAGCAAGTTGGCACAGTAGGCGGAGAGGGGGGTGGGGGT